AACCCTCACGTGTGGGCCAAGGGGTCCCTAGGAGGTGGCCGCCGAGAATGGTTAGGAAAAACAGAAGAACCAATGGATGTAGACATCCATCTGCCAAGGTCTGGTAAATAAACAATGCTGTAATTACACGACGCCATGCTGCCCCACACAGCTGGGGGGTAGACAGGGGTGACCTGGTCACAGGATCTCTACGCACACACAGAACACTCTGGAAATCACAGCGCTGGAGCAGGCACCCTGTCCTGGATAATAGCATGCATTCAGGGGTGGGAACTCGAAATGCTAAATATTGTTTATCTGCCTATCTGTGAACATCTGGGGTGGGGGGTAGAAGGGGAGGAAACTCCATTAGGAAGGCAACAGGAGGGTGTCAGCATTACCAGCAAGATTTCGCGTCTTCACCTGGGCGTCTGTCATCCTAGCTACTCACTAGGCTGAGCTGTGAGGATGGTGGTTTGAAGCCAGCCCAGGCAGGAAAGCCTGGGAGACTCTCGTCACCAATTAACCATCAAAAAGCCAACCAGTAGAGCTGTGGCTCAAGTAGTAGGGTGTTAGCCTTGAGCAAAAATCTCAGAGACAAGCCGGGCGCTGGTGGCTCACGCCTATAATCCTAGCTACTCAGGAGGCTGAGATCTGAGGATCGCGGTTCAAAGCCAGCCCCTATCTCCAATAAACCACCAGAAAACCGGAAGTGGCGCTGTAGCTCAAGTGGTAGAGCGCTCGCCTTGAGCTGAAGAGCTGAGGGACAGCACCCAGGCCCAGAGTTCAAGCCCCACGACGGACCAAAAAAAAAAAAAAATCTCAGAGACAGCGCCCAGGCCCTGAGTTTGAGCCCCAGAACTGGCTCATGTGTGTGTGTGTGCGCGCGCACATGCGTGTGTGCATGCACACGCACACACACACCCCTCCATACATCTATGGATGAAGAGGCTCCAGCTGTGAGCTTTGTGGCTCCCGCCTCTGGCCATGGAGAACTTCAGGCCATTCCGCCTCTCTCCCTCTCCTGCCAATGTGTATTTTCTGACTTTTCTCTGAGGGACGTGCTGTGCTGCTTTAATAAAAACAAACAAAATGCAGAGGGGCCTGTTGCTTCCCCGGGTCACAGGCTCTCCTCTGAGCCTCTGCAGGGTCCCAGGTTCCAAAATAGATCTGCCCTCCTCATTCTCCACGTCCCGGATGAGTGCCAGGGACTGGCTGGAGGCTGCGGCTCCCCAGGCCTGAGAAGGGGTGGGCGTGGCTGGCGGCCCGGGCTGGGCGTGGCTTCTACCTGGTTGCCCTTGGCCCTCGGGCAGTGGAACCTGTACCATCCCAGGATGCAGAGAGGAGAGCTGAGGCCACGGAAAGCGATCGTGTTGTAAGAGCCGAGGCAGCTGTGCTGGAGGCCCTTCTGGTCAGGACTTTGCGTGGATTATGTCCGTGTTCCTTCAACCACCATCGTTCTCTGCAGAGAGAGGCCCGTCTGGCCAGCGGACGCTGTCAGCCAGGGCACTAGTGCTGGTTCTGAGGGCCTCGTCCTATGAGGAAACACTCCCTGAGCGTTGGTCTTCTATACCAGTGCCTTGTGATGAGCATTTGGGGTTGGGTGGAGCGGGGAACCCAGCATTCAACATACTAAGAAGTGGGGCATCTGGGCCTTACTGGGCATTTACCCTGTTCCAGGCTCTGGCTTAACCCTTCACGGGGGTCACCCTTGAAATTTGTGGTGGTTTTTTTTTTCAGCAATAATGATTAGCAACCTTGCTGGACAGAAGCAGGAACTATAGATCAGAGAGGTTAAATGATCCAGTCAAGACCACACAGGAGGGGAGGTGGCAAAGAGGATTCCAATCACACAGGAGACCTCAGTGCACCCAGAGACACAGGGAGGCCAGGAGGCCAGGCCAGCTCCCACCCCAGGGCCCAGGGATGGAGGGGGGAGGTTCCTGTCTCCCAGGCAGGACGGGCTCCATCGCATGGAGGACCATGCAATACACAAGAGCCCGGCTCCCTATTCAACATGTTCGTTTGTGAGCCCAGTGGCTCACGCCTGTAATCCTAGCTACTCAGGAGGCTGAGATCTGAGGATGGCAATTCAAAGTCAGCCTGGGAAGAATAGTCCACGAGACTTCTTATCACCAGTGAAGCACCAAAGAGCCACAAGCGGCTCAATGGGGACAGAGCGCCCAGGCACTGAGTTCAAGCCCCAGTGCCGGCACACAGACACAAAAAGTATTTGCTGAGAACTGTAAGATTAGAGCATCAAACCAAGCTATAGGGGGCTGGGAAGGTGGCTCAGTGGTAGAGCGCTTGCCTTGCATGCCTGAGGCCCTGGGTTCGATTCCTCAGCACCACATAAGCAAAAAGAAAAAAGCCAAAAGTGGTGCTGTGGCTCAAGTGGTAGAGCGCTAGCCTTGAGCTGAAGAGCTGAGGGACAGCGCCCAGGCCTGAGTTCAGGCCCCACGACCGGACCCAAAAAAAACAAATCAACAACAACAACCAAGCTATAGAAGACATGAACACCAGGAGGGGAGAGGCCTCGCGGACTCCTCCTGGGAGCCAGGAAACTTGGCATCCCTGCAATACCACGCTGAAAATGACCTGGAGGAACCAGGTTGTACATACACCACAGCCCAGCTGAACGGCTCCCTACCTCCTGACCCATGGAAACCCTAGAAATAATACATGATTGGTTGGTTTGAAAGCCACTAAGTGTCAGGGCGATTTATCTGCAGCCTGGGTATAATGCACTGAAGACAGGAGAGGGCAGGAGTAGGTGGACAGCAATGCTCTAGGTAGTAGATGCAGCATGTGCCAAGGCCCTGAGGTAAAGAACTGTGCTGGAGTTAGTCCTGTTGACTCAGAGGCCCTTTGCCTCAAAGCAGGACCCAGGCCAAGGGGCCACATCAACACATCTCCTCGGGACAGAGCTCTTTCTTTGGCTCTCCTCTGCACCGTAAATCTGGGACAGGTGTTTATTGAAGGAATCAAGCAGAGAACAGGAAGCCATGTGCCATTCATTCATTCATTCATTCATTCTCTCCAAGAGCAAAAGCATCTCCCGTGCCGGGGGCTTTCCATGGGCATCTGGGTGCCCAAGAGCTCTAACCCCATCCCCAGTGCTCGGAGGCTGGGGGTGGGGGAGGGCTAGAGGCCTCAGCCCCTGTGGGGACACACAGTGGGGTGGACTGTGGGGTCAAGGTGGCAGCTGAGACTTCCCTCTTCCCCCGAGTCAAGCCTTCCCAGGGCCTCTGACCTTAAACAAATTACCCAGCTGTCCTGGGCCACCATGAGGAAGAGAAGCCGGTGCCTGGCGGGTTGATCAAGCTGCTGCCCCAGTCCTGAGGCCTTCCCACGTCCCTCCTCTGTCCCTCCTCCATCCAGGCTCTCCATCCTCCTCACCTGGCCGGGCCTGCAGCCAAGGCAAGGAGGCCAGGGCTGGCCTCAGAACTCCCAACGCACAGGGAGACCTGCAGCACCCCTGCTGGCTGCGGCCACCTGTTCCTTCTCCTGCCTGAGCGGAGCCGCAGACCTGTCCCCAGCCCTGCCCCCCCCCCCAAAACCCCTACTGGCCGTGGCCCCCAGGGCCCCCCCAACCCCCCCTCCTTGGGAACTTCAACAGGATCTGGGAAACAAAAGGAAAGGGACAATACCATAGCTATAGTCCTCAGGCTACCCCACCCAGCTCTGGGAAAACCAGCCAGGATGAGGCACCCGCCTAGCCAGCAGAGCCCAGGGCTACCCACCCAAGCGCTCGGGTACTCAGAGCCCTGGGGACCAAGCCCTGCCTTGAAGAGATTGCATTCCAGCAGGCCCGCAGAGTGCTGTACTCGGTACTCCATGCTTCCCCCGCCTCAGCACTGCACGGTCTCACTCAGTGTTCATTCCCTGCAAAGTGAGAGATGCTGTTTTCTTCACTCAGCAGAGTGTGGCTCAGAGAGGTTGAGTGACTTACCCAAAGTCACACAGCTGGTGGGTGACAGAGGGACGATTTTTTTTTTGAGCCAATAAACTGAAAAAAATTCCTCCTTCCTGATCCAAGGAATGACTCATGTGCATTCCTCAGACAAAGAGCTGGGGGTGATCCTGCTTTGCAGATTGGGGTGTGCAGGCCCGGAGAGGCCCACTACCCCATCTAGGGTCTCTTGGCCCAGCAGGCATAGGGGAACAGGACTTGGGGCTGGTTGTCTCGGAGTGGACGAAAGGGGATTAGCCAAGACCCTGTGGTCACCCCACCACCCAGCTCTGGCACAAACCATTGTAGGACAATTTCTCATTCCTGGCACAGACACCGGCCTGGGGCTACCCAAGGCATAGTGTCCCCCCACCAGTCCCAAGGGAGAGGGACACAGCCAGCTCCAGACAAGGCACCCATTGCCCGGGTCTTGGAAGATTTTTCTGGGTCTCTAGAAAGGAACTGGATGGGCGGCCTCCTCCGGCCTCCCCCCTCCCTCCCCCCCTCTCGGGGGTCACTCACTTGTGTTCCAAGCCCTCCCTTGGAACAGAGGAGGGGAGTTAGAGGGGGCTGAGGAGGGGAGGGCCAGGGCTGAAACTTGAGAAGCCAGCCTAGGGGGGGGAGGGGGGGCGGCGAAGGGGGAGGTGGAGAAGAGGACAGAGAGGAGGGCTCTCGGCTGCGTGTGTTTGGAGGGCTCAGCCTGGTCCTGGGCTTGGAGTGCATGGTGGGTGGTGGACGTGTGGCTGTGTGTGAGCATTGCCTGGGGAGGGGCCATCAGAAGTCCCGGCAGAGAGGGAGGTGGTGGAGGAAGGAAGGAGGGAGAGAGAATCGAGGAGAGGGGCGCGGGAGGGGGGGCGGGAGGGGGAGCGGAGGCAAGGCTAGCCAGGAGGAAGCAGGCAGTATAAATAGCCCCGGACCCAGCCCGCCCCCCGATCGAGGGCCTTGCGGCCCTGGACTCTGTGGTCAGATCAGTCCTCTGCTGGCCACAGCCACACATTCTGGGTGAAGGGCAGACATAGCCACTTTGGGGATTCCGGCTGGATCCCCTGGGCCATCACTCCAACTTCAGATGCTCTTCCAGCCAGCCATGCTGTTCGGTGGCCTCCTCCTGCTGGCCACCATGACTGCCGCCCAGTGGAGGGGCCAGGAGGCCGGCCGGCGCCGCCAGACGCACCGCGTCCAGCATGGACAGTGTAGCTACACCTTCGTGCTGCCTGAGCCTGAGCCCTGCCCGCTGGAGCCTGAGGCCTTTGGGGCCCCCAACAGCCTGCAGAGGGACCTGCCGGCCGCCGGGCTGCACTTGGGGGACTGGCAGGCCCGCCGGGTACGGCAGCTGGAGAAGATGCTGGAGAACAACACGCAGTGGCTACAGAAGGTACGGCTGGCTATCACGGGGTGGCTCTGGGGACTGGCCTCAGCCACAGCTGGAGCATTGCCCTGGGCGGAGGGGACTGGCCAATGTGCTGGATGGAAGGAAGGAAGGAAGGAAGGATGGATGAATGGATGGATGCATGCATGCATGCATGGATGGATGGATGGATGGGTGGGTGGATGGATGGACAGACAGACCGATGGATGAATGGATGGGTGAATTGATGGATGGCTGGAGAGATGAATGGATGGATGGATGGGGATAAGAGCCCAGAGAAGATATGACACCACACAGCAGGACTGAGTCACATCAGAACAGGAAATCAGCCTGAGGTAGACATTCACTCATTCATCCGGCAGGAATTTGCTGAACCGGTCAGGCCATGCTAGGTGCTGGATGTGTAGAGGGATGTGATGTCTGGTTCTGGGCCAGTGAGGGAAAGAGATTTATAAAAAAAAAAAAAAAGCCACATCTGCTGTTTCAGACAGTGATGCAGATGGACAAGGGCAGGGGGGCACAAGGTAGGGGGCGTGTCGTGGCCAGGGCCAGCCTGTTGAGGCTGGATCTCTGGAGAGGAAGTCCACTTCCAGGGGAAGTGGCATCTGAACCCAGGGACACAGGAGAGAGCCAGGCCTGGGGACAGCACAGCAGGGCAGCCACGTGGCTGTGCAGATGGAGCCAGGAAAGGGGGTGGAGCAGTCGGGGATGAGGGTTGGGCCCACAGCAAAGGCCTCTCAGGAACACGGGGGCTTCTTGTGCTGCCTGTCACCAGACCCATGAAAAGGTTCTGAGAAAGCTGAGCACCGGTGGCTCACGCCTATAATCCTAGCTATTCAGGAGGCTGAGATCTGAGGATCACAGTTCAAAGCCAGCCTGGCCAGAAAAGTTCATGGGGAGACTCTTCTCCCCAATTAACCACCAGCAAACCAGAAGTGGTGCCGTGGCTCAAAGTGGTAGAGTGCTAGCCTTGAGCAAAAAACGCTCAAGGACAGCACTCAGGCCCTGAATTCAAGCCTCACAACCAATAAAAAATTAAGAAAAGAGGCCAAGTGGGAGAGGAGAGCAGGATGGACAGAGGGATCCGGGCTTTGTGCTGAATGGATTGGGATAAGAGCCTAGAAAAGGCCAGCAAATGAGCCTAAAGCCACACAGCAGCAAGCCAGAGCCACAGCAAGCCAGAGCCACAGCAAGCTCTGCTCAAGAGCAAGGTGTCGGAGGCCTGCTCAGGGAGGGGCGCATCCGGGCACACTCTGAAGGTGGTTGATGGCTCTGCTACTGATGAACTGAAAGCGAGGTCACAGACAACCAGGAGGGGAAGCCACGTGGGTGGGAGCCACTGAAGGACCTCCTGTCGTGCGGCTGTTGCTTCCGCTGACGCTCATGTCCAGGTGAGAACTGGGGGACGTGGTCAGCGGGGCCAGCTGAGCTCTAGGGCATGTGGACAGGGACGACCGATGTCCTGTGGGGCCAGGATGTGGTCAGCCCCAGCCCCCTGAGTAAGAGCTATGGAGAGAAGGATGGGGGACCAGGAGATGGTGCAGGGGTAACCGCAGGAGACAGGAGGGAGATGACTTGTGGCCTCTTCAAGTGTATTAGACTAGAGACCAGCTTGACCCAGGAAGGGAGGGAGCGTGACCCTCTCCCCGAGTGCCTCTCAGCCCCGTGGCTTCTGATCAGTGGCAAGTGTTCACTCCCTGACACGGCGATTGTGAGTGTGTGTCCATATTAGTATATCATCCGTAGGTGGTATTGTCATACAGGCACACATTAAACGGAGCTTTGTAAAGGTGGCGCGTGGCTGAGCATAGCGGTGCACACCTGTCATCTGAGCAGCTAGGGGGCAGCAAGGTAAAGGGGGGTGAGGCAGAGGACCATACAAACATCCCCACCCCCACCCCCCAGTCTCCACCCTCTTATCTCTGCATTCTGCAATGACACCATGTGGCATCTGATGGTACCCCAAGCCCCAATGGTATGATCATCCCACACACACAAATCTACTTCATGGTTGGAGGGTCTATCGGTGTCTCAACTCTAGGGCTGCCTGAATCCCCACCTCCCCAACCCTGTTTATTTCCCAACTGCAGGTGCTCTGCAATGGCGGGGGAGGGGGGGTCCATGCTCCCACCTTCACCCAACACCAACCCATCCATCCCTTTGCCTGTTTTCTGTCATCATCTCCCCTTGCTGCCTGGCTTCTATCCCACACCTCACCCCCTCATCCCTTCCTGTGCCTGAGGCCTGGGAAACACTGGCACGGCTGGTATAGGGTTGACCAGATGGCCATAGAGAAGATCAGGGGTTTGGTAGAGCACTAGCCAAATGAGCAGAAGCAGTCTTGGCCCTAGAAAAGAAAAGAAATGAGGGAGCAGATCAGAAGGTTGCAATCCTAGCTACTCAAGAGGCTGAGATCTGAGGATCATAGTTCAACGCCAGCCTAGGCAGGAAAGTTCTTGAGACTCTTATCTCTAACAAACCACCAGAAAACTGGAAGTGGCACTGTGGCTCAGAGTGGTAGAACGCATGCCTTGAGCAAAAAGAGCTCAGGGATAGCGGCCAGGCCCTGAGTTCAAGCCCCACAACCAACAGCAGCAGCAGCAACAACAACAACAAAGGTCACATCTCTGCTATGTGGTGCTGGGTGAGTCTCAGTTTCCCCATTCACAGGCTGGAGCAAAGAACAGGATGTCAGGGGTCAGACGGGAACTCGGCTCGCAGCTGCTGCCTGACTGTGTGCAGGGCTGCCTGCCTGCATGCAGGGTCAGCGTGCGGGCGTGTGTTCTAAGAGACAGCCCCTGTCTGAGCCCCTGCACCTCTGAGCTCGGCCTTAGTCACCGTGATCCGAAGTCTGCAGGTCTCCTTTGGGCTAGAAAATGCCATCTGTCCTGACTGGTGTCCTCAATGGGCCCCCAGTCTCCGGCATCCCCTTGGGCAAGGGACCCCTTGAATTGATCACAACTGCTTTCTGGCCCTCAGCATTTGAGTCATGGCCTGGTCATCTGTGCCTGTGGAGTCTACCATAAGATCTGACCCATTGGCCTAGGGCCACCTACTGGTCATTCTCCTTGGGCAGCCGCAGAACCTAGATGATAAACACCCAAACTCTGGAGCCCGATTGTAACTATTCCAACCTCAGTTCTGCACCTTCCTTACCTTACTGTGTGACCTGGGATAGGTTGCATCACCTCTCCGAGCCTGGGTTTCCTCACCTAGAAAATGAAGTGAAGGTATTGCCTACCAGTGTAAGGATGTAACCTAGTGCCTGGGAAACACAAATGTGCACCAGGCACATTCTCAGTAAATGTGGACTATTTCTCCACAACAGAGCCCTGGGCCTGTGATGTCAGTGCCTTCCCTTGTGCCCAGCGGAGACACGTGGTCTCTGGCTCTACTGAACATCACCCCTCTCTCACCCTGGCTCATCCCTGCAATCCTAGCTACTCAGGAGGCTGAGATCCAAGGATCAAAGTTTCAAGCCAGCCCAGGCAGGAACATCTATGAGACTTATCTCCAACTAACCATTTAAAAATAAATAAATAAATAAGGGAAGCACAGCCATAGCTCAGTTGGTAGAACACAAGCCTTGAGCAACAAAACAGTGTCCAGGCCTTGAGTTCAAGCCCCAGTACCAGTACAAGAGAGAAGAAAGGAAGGAAGGAAGGAAGGGAGGGAGGGAGGGAGGGAAGGAAGGAAGGATGTAGATGAGGAACCAGATGAGGAAATGATCACTGACCATCACAGTCAGTCTGGGTCCTCACTTCTCCAGACTCAGAGGCCAGTGCTGGACAGAGGGGGTGTTCCCTTCTGCCCCCAAGTTTCCACATCCTGCGCATGACTCTTAGCATAGAGTAGGGGACCCCAGCCTCAACCCACTCCCCTTCTCTCGCCCTGCTTTATGCCATCCCCTCTCCTTCTCTTCCCTGATAACAGCCCCCAGCCCTCCTCCCAGAAAGCCCCTGTGACTCAGGCCTGTAGCAGCCAGCGGTGGGCTGTGCACTAGCTCTGGGCCCTGGGCCATTGCCCTCCTCTGGGTGAGCAGCTGTGGCCAGGAATGCTGAGGTGGGGGGGGCAGGCATCCCTGTGGGCTGTGTGCTCAGCATCCTCCGCCTGGGCCCACTCAAACCTCGCCTGCGAGGCAGGAGGATGAAGGCACCTGGTCCAGCCTTGGCTGTGGGGCTGAGGGAAGCTGCTGGGCGAAGCTCCTGGGGCAGCAGGTGCTCCACAGAGCCCCCCCCCGCCTCCTTGTGGCTCTCAGTCCCCCAGTTGCCTGGCTATCCCAGCCAGGAAGTGTCATCTTTATCTTCTCCAGAGTTCCTCCAGAATGTTTCTTGCTGTGGACCAGCCCAGTCACAACCCCAGGCCTGGCCCATACCCTCCACCCAACTACCAAGGGCAGCGTGTCGCCCATGAGCCTCCGGGGTCCCAGGGACGGGACACAACAGCACCTTGTACCTGTGGGACCTGTGTCCCCTCTGTCCCAACCAGGGCTGTCTATGGGTTCTGGGACAGCTCTCTGTCTCTGTCTCTGTCTCTGTCTCTCTCTGTCTCTGTCTGTCTCTGTCTCTGTCTCTGTCTCTCTCTCTCTGTCTCTCTCCCCTTCCCATCAAGCTCCTGGCCATATTCACCCCCCAGTATCCACACTGAAGACCCAAGACACAGCCCCCTATAACCAGTGCCCACACCCCAGCCAAGCTGTTCCCTCTCTCTCTTCTCCTTCTGTCCCCCCACCCACCCACACACACACACACCAAGCCATGAGGGGAGGGGTACAGGTCTGGGTATCGACCTCCAGACCTGGCTCTGTCCCAGCCTCCTCCATGGCCCCAGGTCCTTGACGTCAAACCCCAGAATAACTCGGCCTGGTGTCCTTCCTTGGCTGGCCATGGGTCAATTGAGCCTCCAGCGGGAACCCAGCATGGGGCCCTGGCCTGGCCAGAGACCCTCCTAAATGGACCAGGACTGCAGCCGCCCCAGCCTCCCCGGGCTGCCCGTAAATTCTTGGC